AGTCGTTGCTTCTGCTGGAGCGAAAGCATTATCAGAAAATATTTGAGGGTTTATCCATCTGTTTCTAAATCTAGAAAGGTATTCTGTGTTGCGGCTGCCCTTACAAACGCTTCTCCAAAGAGCGAATTGACTTCGTGGAGAGTCGTCACATTTACCGAATGATTTCGAAGCTAGTTTTTAACAGAATGTGAGAAAGGGGTACTGTGTAACCTACTAAAACGAACAATTAGATAAATAATCATATGGAGTCAAAAGTTTCGGGGCAAAATAGATTAGAAACGTTCTACTTTGCCCTGCTCGACGGTAACAGAAATGGTTCAAAAGAATCAAATTAGCCTTGCTTTTGTTTGAGAAATCCAAAAGCAATGAATCATAAACTTATAAAACTAAAGCATTAAAACAAATACTTTGTACTTCTGTATTGCTGTGCCATTACTTATATTTTTGTAAGGCACAAAGAAAAATCAGAAAATCAGCAGTAATTCCCTTTTCTGATATGCTGTGACACTCTCCTACAGCCGTGACAACACTCTTCTCTACAAAATACTTGTCCTAGAACTGAAAGGCTCAAAATATGTGGGTTTTAAAAGCAAATTCCACTTTGCCACGTGGTTCTACTCTGCTCTACCTCCCCTACTACAATATAGTAGTATGTAGTACATATTCCTATACATGTTATTCCATGTAAATCCTAGTCCGATTTTTAACATTCACTCCGAAATTCCTATAGATATGTTCATGTTATTGTAACCTGTATTCCCTCCCCTACTACTGACCAAACTCTCTTAGGTTCGCCAGATATCAAGTAGTGATTAGCGTAGAGTCTGAGTCCGCATCGACTGACATTTTTTTTTAATCTAGAGGTAGTCGTAACATGCTTTTTAAATCTAAAGGTTAACACCTTGCTGATAGTTCATTTCTTTTAACTTGCATTGGAGAAAGCGTCAAAACCAGATGGTTCTTTACCTGGGTTGGTTTGGTCCGCAATTTACATGTAGAATTAGACAAAAATTTCGCGAGAAAAGATCAAGGGATTATTTGGTCCGCAATTTACATGCGCCCCAGCTCACTCGCCGGAATCTTCTCGCGTTGCGCAGGGTGGGTCAGGTGGGATGGGGCGGGCAGAGGCATGAGCTGGCCAACAAAACGTTTCTCTAGACGATTCTGTTCAGTATGCTAAAAAAACAAAACTGTAATAATGATGATATGGAGGGATGTGGTGACTGATTTACCGATTTATTAACAGCCAAAGTAACAATAACTATCATTTAATGAAAGCCGGTTTAGAGAGAAATCATGAAGATATCTCGTGAAACATCACCGCCATGCTCTTCAATATTTATAACAAAATGATTATTATTGTTATTATTGTTATTGTTATTATTATTGTTGTTATTATTATTTTAAAGCTGGTTTATATAATGATGGTCAAAAAAAAGAAAAAAGATACCGGTGTGTTAAGTTCTTTACATGATTATTAAGTTATTGTATGATATTTGAATCATTAATCTCTTGTATATTTGCCAGTTTAAATGCTTTCTGATATAGAGGGACAAACCATAAAAGCGAATTACAGATTCGCTCCTCTTCTTTGGTATCCTTGGGATCAGGGGTGTAACGACGCTGGTGCAACTGGGGCTCTGCATTGGCCCCAGGTATCAAGGGGTCGGGCGAACACCAAGCCAGCCGTTCTGACGTAACAACTCGGGCCGATGCTTAGAAATCTAATTGGCTCTGCCCAATATTTCCAACATGTAATTTTCGAAGAAATAAAAACAAAATTGGAGTAGTTTTTAAGAAAACGTTCTTTTTATAATTTACATTAATTTCACAAAATTACGCGAAAACTACTCGATTTTTCAATTAAATGTACATGGACTATTTAAAGAGCTGATTTTTTAACATATTTTGTTGACAACAAAACCTTTATCTTCAATTTTTTAGTTAAGAAATGTTAACTTTTTGCAATTTTCGGCAATACAGAGTTCGTCAAAAATGGGACTAGCACCATATTTTTTTACCGTTCATTGATACATACGAGAATAAAATTTTATCACAATATTTGGAGCCGCTTTTGAAAGAAAAAATGTTTAAAAAATGTTAATTTCTTTTATTTCACGCAAATTTTGCAATAATAACTCATATTTTCGAAAATATGTACATGACCAGATTCCAAGATATCTTTAAAAAACAAATTTCATTAAGAAAAATATCTTTATCTTTAGTATTGTAGTTGTCGGAAGACGCCGAAAATATTGAATTTCTGCAATTTTCGAAAAATAAGCGATTTTAATAAAATTGAGCCCTGTGCCATTTTCTTAAGCGTTCTTTACACTATCCGAGGACAAAGATTAAACAATAAATTTGCAGCCATTTTTTAAAAAAAATTGAAAACGTTTCTGAGGCTCCATGTACTCTCCAAAATCAATAAATCCGTTTGAAACTCGCAAAGCCTTGAGTGCGTTCAAATCGATCGGGCAATATCAAGTTTTGAGTAAATCGGCTAAACGGTTTAGGCACTACGTTGACCAGAGTCGGACAGACAGGCAGACAAGTAGACAGGCAGGCGGACAGTCAGACATTTTGTGGTCAATTGGTTTTTCGGTGTCAAGGACCCACCAAACAAATCCTGATTACACAACGTGTTAGAGGGAGTCATTTACTATATCCACATCCCAGGACAGCCTAAATTCACTTTTTCGTTACCAGGACCCGGCAATGAGATTTTTCTGCAGAACATTCGCAAATTTCCTACGCATTTTGATGAGGCGTGTGTCGAAAAGGCAGCGTTTAAAAAAAATTAAATCTAAATACTGTACTAGAAATTAAAAAAATACAATGTAAGTGAAATGGTCGAACTGTATAATCGTACGTTTTAATTGATGTATAGATTGGGCCTAAATATAATCCATTTAATTGCTTATTAATCGTATGAAATAGTTGTACTAATTGCGATTCATCCCTGGGTACGAACTGACGAATAAAGAAAATAAATCCGCATACTTAGTATACCGGACACAATGTTCCCCAAAATGATCTGCAGTTTTCTGCCCAGAGAACTATCAGACATAACTGGTTAGTAGGGTTCCTAGCACCACAATGTACGTGGTCACACTGTTCTCTACTGCATGGGTTGTCCATGGTATTAGCAAAAACAGCGTGACTGACCCCCCCCCCCCTTCAGTAACTTCCAATGCGCGATGGCAGCTAATTTTTCTCCAGCACGTGTTAATAGTGAATATCTTTCACTAGAAAAACGAGTGGTGCTAAAAACAGCTTGTACTTTCTCGCCCTTATTCTCACGCAAATTAAGCGCAAAGTACTCAACTTTTCGAAAACTTGTACATGATCTTATTTTAAAATTTGCAATTTTCAACGAACATGAGATCTGCACCATTCTCTTAGACGTCCTTCACAATATCCAACAAAATTTAATCAAAATGATGGAGCCATTTTATTTATTTATATTTTATTTTTGGAAAATGTTCTAGGGGTTTCATGTAAAGTACCATCCAAAATTAAAAAAAGTGGAAGCGTTTGAGTTCATTTTTGAAGCTGTGTAATCTGGTAATGATTCTCAGATGTTTCATTAATTTGTTGAAGAATTGTAATCCCGTTGCACTTAGGCATAACGTACAGGTGGCGTTAAAGTTAAGAACCTATTTAGTTGGGTGCATAACTTCTTGGTTTAAACCAGTTTCTTTTTTCTGGTATGATACTCTAGAGGATATTTGGAAATTTCACTATTAACACATATGCAACAGCACAGAGCTCCACAATTTTGGAGCTACTGTTTGTAGAAGAATGGTCCTTTATTGAATATAGCATAATGCATCAATAGAGAGAATTGCAGGCAACTGAAAATCTTAGGGCAATACACTGAAGACAATTTCATCGTCTAGCATGCACAGTGTAGTGTGGGTGACTTCAGAAAAATCGTAGGCCTATATTGTTTTGAAAATCAAGAAGGTACCAATGAAACTGTTAAACAGATATTGAATCATTATGAATAATTTTGAAAGCCCTGTTGGCAGATTGGGTTCCAATTCAAAGCTTCAAGATGGATTCACAACTCACAGTTTGTACCACTATGGCTTTTTTAGTGACCTCCAAGAAGTTGAGTTTCATATGGCCAGCTTATTCCCCAGATGTAATGGCCCCTGATTATTTTCTATGAGGTTTCATAAAAAACGTTTGTCAGTAAACCTAGAACCAATCTTCAGATAAAGAATAACATGAGAGATTAAATTCAGGTGCTAAAACCTGCAATTCATCAAGCAGCAATGCAGAAAGTTCAAGGGATGACACAAGTCCATCTCTGTGAAGAAGCAAAAGGCTGTTTCTACAACTTGATATTCCATATTCCATATTCCATGATAATCTTTTTTCTTTTTTTTTTTTTTCTTTTCATTGTGAATTGGCCTTTCTTTAGACCATGCAAACATGCACTTATACTCACCAAGACCCAGACATATTTTTTCCTGGGGGCATGCACTTGAAACATTTGGGGGATCAGCATTTCTGCTGAGTCCATTTTTATGCCCCAAGATTGTTAGCCCTGGGGATATGGAAAATGAAATGATTATGAGGGGTGCGAGGTCACGAGACATGTTCAAACACATATTCGCCCACGCCCGAGGTGGGGCTCGAACCCGCAATCTTCTGGGTCAAGATAACTACGGCACTACTGCCTTACTGACGTCTGCCATCTGATCAGCTATACATCATTATTATTATTTTCAAACGGCCCCTAATTTTTGCACCACCTACTTTTGTTGGTATTGGTGATTGTTGGAGAAAGCTATGTTTAACGTATATTATATGAGTGTATGCTTGACTTGTTTGTTAACGATGTTAAGGTTCTTTTTAACAAACACGAGGAAATTTTTTTGAATTGGTGTCTACAAAAATCTGTTCTTTTTGTGTTTGTCATGGCCTAGATGATACTCTTTTGTATTTTAATAAGGGCTTAATAGGATTTAATAATTTCAAAATACAAATTTTGCGTCCGTGAATTTACATATTTTATTTTTCTTCCATCTATAAACTGTACACAGGGGTTCATATATATATATACACACACAGTCAAACCCAGTCATTGAACACATATATTGCAAACCTCTGCAAGATATTTGATTTAATTTACAAGGAAAAGAAACAAAAAAGTTAAATAATGTAATTACATTATTTATAAATTTCAGAAAAGGATTCAAGAGCTTGTCATACTCTCAACATTTTCTAAGTTATGTATACTACCTATTTCTAAGATCTTGCAGAGATGTTGCCTTAAGTTTCAAAAACAAAAGATATACAAATTTAACTTACATAAATATCACAAAAACAACAAAGAAATGAGTACAAGTAATTGGCTTGCTTAAGAACAAATACACTTAATTCTTGCACAAACAGTAACAACACAGATATTACATTAATTAGAGTCAACAATTGGATTATGTAATTCTGCATTTGTAATCAAGTATACAGCAAAAAACAGTTTAAATTATTAACAATTTCATTGAAAAATGTATTGGTCACAAGGGCATGTTTTATACCACTCAAGGTCACATTTGTACTCTTACACATTTACACATCAGATGAATCTTCAACCAATTTTACTTGGTTACAATGACTTAGCAGCAAAGACCCAAGTCTTGCTTCACAAAAATTTTGATTTTGCTTCACTATTAGACATTTCATAGATTAGGTTAAAATAAACAAAAATAGAACATTACATCAGTAACAACACTACTGGAATTCGTCATAAATCAAATGAAACACACATATATTTTCATTGTTACACCTGCAGACCATTTTATTGACAATAAATACTTTCAAACTGTCTATTTGGAATAGGGTTTCAAAGACATTATAAGGAAAACACTTAATTACAAAGAAGATAATTGAAATCTATAGTGCAATTAGTACATACAAATAACACCACCTAGTTTCTCCTGATAGCGACAAAATGAGTATTATTTGATACTATGTGATCTGATTTTTCTTCTTCTTGCTATTGCAAGACGCTATAAAACTGCTGAAATTTACACAGATCGCAGCAAAGCTGAGAAATCTGAGACAACTTCATTTTTTGTTACATTGAACAAATATTCACATGCACCACAGAATATTACAATACATTATTTGGGCCCCAGTTATCTTAATTTTTGTTTTAATTTTTTACAAACCAAGGAAATCTCACACAAGCTGCCTATATAATTAATTATATTACACTCAGAAATGTCTGAAAAAAATATTTTGAGGTAACAACGCAAAAAAATAGCTCAATATTGAGATTGGTGACAGAATGACAGAAAATTGACAAGCTTCACATTTTGTCACTCATATCATCAATTTTTATAAGTTTAAACAATATTAATAAAATGATAGGTGACATGCAAACTAAAACATTTTTTCAAGTACAAACCTTTTTTTGTACATACACTATCGTCAGTAGAACTACATTCTAAATTTTGCGTTTTCATCACAATTGCACATTCACAAAAATATATTGCTGTAAGTTTCTGGCAATAGGAGCACACTTTCATATGTTCAGTAAACTATCAACCAATTAATATTATTGAAGATGCCTGTGTACTTCCATAAACCGACCCAATTACAGAGCACAATAGACAACATATTTTAACAAAGACTAGATCTTTTGTTAACTTTTTACTGATTTGGATAAGAATTAACAAATATCATTTTATCAAAAATTATGAAGTAAAAAATGAAAACATGGCAATAATTATAAGAAAAATACAAAGGTATGTTTACATAAAGGAACTATTCACAACTGGTTACGGTAGGAAACAAATGAAATTATCAGTGTCCTTTTAACTAAAATTGTATTCCCTTTCGTATATTTTGGGTCAGTTTTAGTCATCATCAATGTCCAATAATGACATATTTACCACTCATGTCTGATATTTAAGCAATATAAAAAAGAGCTACAAGTTTTCAAACTCTCACCAATTTATTCAGCCCCAGATTCTACCAGATATTAATTATGCTTAATCAGAAACTTTGGGTCTTGAAATTATGTTTCTTAAATTAAATATTATGACTTTCTTCTTTGATTCTCATATAGCAAATATATAATATTTTCTTAACATAAACAAAAAAGGTCCTCCCAAAGTTTTACAGGCTTTATCGTGTGATTATTTATTTCAGCATTAATGGCATAATTTTTTTCATTGCTTACTACACTACTTGAAGACTATTTAGTAACTCTAATGTCAGCACTCTGTACTTTCACCCAATAAAGACAATGAATTTCCTATCAGATATTACATCGCACTTCATTCTCAGTCTTTCCAGATGGAGAAGGTAAGGTATTACAAAAATAGACCAGTGCCTGTTAGCTCTTCTCAGAATTAGGCAATCTTAGTAACTAGTTCATCTATTATCTCCATGATCCAACCTTTTTCAACATTATGACAATTACATTGCATTCACATAAATTATTAATGTATAGGTTACATCCAAGAATATAACATGTTTAATCGAAGTTATTTGATAATACCAAAAGTCTAAAATTTTGAAAACCATTGGCTGAAATTTCCAAATAGTGACCATCTGCAAACTCTACACTGACAGTCTCAACACCAGTAATATAAAATAGACAACAAACATTAAATGCAATTTGATGCAAGTAATATATATATAAATATATATATCGAAATTTCATAATATGCTTTGTATTAACACTGGAAATAAATATGTTGTTCATTTATCTAACAAGAATTTATTGTTTATATGCTAGTTAATGTTGCAAGAAAATCATTAATATCAATTTTACTACTTGAATTTTTACAGAGGCCAAATGTATAACAATGCTGCAATAATATTAACTGTCCAGCAAGAGTAATGATGAACTAATTATCAATACTGATTAACAGGCTGTCCATATATTATGATAAAGGTACCACAATTTGATCTAAAAGAGTCATTAAAGTGTTCACTAAAAAATAAACTGCAAGGTGGACTGATCATTGGACCTCAAAGAGATTTGAACTTCATTAAAATTGTAAAAGCACTTCATTCAAATGACACTTTGATATTAACTTACAAATCAGTTCATATAATACACTACTCACTGATTAATGAATTCGTTCCAAACTCAATTAACAAGAATAACAGTGTAGCTGTTAAAATCAATTGAAGTAAACTCTCGTTAGCAAGTACTCGCTGAACCCAAATTTTACATTTCATATTTTTTACATTCAATATTCATTTTATAACACAAACAAAATTTGGGTCATATGAAGGAAATATATTGGTAGTTATAAATAATAACACGAACACTGATTATTTTGTGTTAACAAAGGTTTCCTGATATAATAATACCAATTGAATCCTTGAATGCGTACTACTTCAAAAGTCCATCTTTGACATACTATTTGGATATAAAATGAAATGCATGATCTTGAAATAATGTAGCAATTGGGAATGTACATAATCCATTTTTTAACGTGGCAAAATAGTCACTTTTAAGAATTACAGTTTATAAGTCAGGAAGTCCAAAAATTATGTGCTTCACTCCTCATGCAAAATTATCTGAAGCTTTCTCAGCATACTTCTCCCGTTGCTGCAATTTTGGACTTAATTTAGTTCTCCTTCTTACAAGTAAATTCTCATTTAATTTTATCTAAATATAAAAAAAAAAATTAAATGTAGACATTCGTGTTTTTAAATTTCTCTTCAGAAATCACAATCCAGTAAAATATTAAACAAGAATAATTGCAAAATTACATTACACATGAAAAAGTAGTTCACTTCTGAGATTTCCTAATAAATATTTTTTTGAAAAAAAAGTAAAGTCACATTTTTTACATAATTTTATGAAAAAATCATGTTTTCAGCATTCATTTATGGAGAGGAGCAGACATATCAAAGGAAGAAGAACAGGAATTATGAAAATGTTGAACTGATAACTTTGGAAAAAATATATATGAAAGGTAAATATAGCATGAATTGATAATGAAATTAATTAATAATTTAGTAATTTGCCTTTTTCAGTTACATGATAAATATTTTGGTGCCATGATCTAATTTTGCAGATTATTAATATTTACAGTTTTGAATTTGGCCATGAACATTTAAGGTGACATAAGTGATAAAGGTAATATTGCAAAACACTGTAAATTAATACTAATAATAAAGATAGTGGTGATACAAGTGAAAACAGCTGCAATGACCTGTATCAAGACTGTATTTTACAGAGAAGGACCTATACACTTTTAACAAGACTACATGTCTAATTACATAAATGTCATGATAGGCATGACTAGGGTGTAGAAAAGTGCAATATGTAATAATGGAAGGTCAAGTCAATTTGATATCAGGATCACATGATACAATGCAGTTCTCTCCACCTGTATCAGGATCTTTATTATTCTGTCTTTCAGGTCATGTTACAATTTCATTGAAATTTGATAAATATTTCTGTCATTCTTTTAAATTTTTGCACAAGAATTCACACCATATCATGGAGTAATTAAAACTATCCTAGCTTTTCAATATTCACAATAGCACATGCATTTCATATAGTCACAGCAATACATACACATTTCTGGATATTTGAAACTAAAGTGTATAATCAGAACTTTTCAATTTATAAAGTACAATTACAATAAACAATGAGAATTCACTAATAATTTAGTCTCATAATATCCATTCAAGAAACATTACTATAATTAAACAAATGTCCACATTTATTACAAAATTGCTAGGTCATCTTCGAAGTAATTTGAGAATCAACAACACTTATGATCCAAGCTAAAATACAATTGTATTGCTTATATGCTAAAATATGTAGAGAAATTGTAGTTTCCTTCACATTCAAATTCAGACTGACAACATTACTACATCAGTTTTTCAACATCTCTATTAAATGTACCACTCTATTGCCTCCCATACACCTCAGCTCCTTTGCAGACAAGGAAAATATTGAAGCTGCATTTGGATTAATTACATGAATCAAAAGGAATAAATTTATACTCAAAAATTAATGAACGTGAACTCTTTTACCACAGTGAAATATGCAAGGTAGATATTTCTACTCCACCACATGCAGAGCAAAAATTCATCTAGTTCACCCAAATTAGGACTTCAGGACCTTAAATGTTTCTCTCTCCAGACACCAATTTACAAAATATAAAAACAGATAAATCTAACCAGCACAACATATTTTTACTTCAAAATGCTTCTCCATTGCATATAAAATTTCATTACTGAAAACAATAAAATGAAGTCTCTTTATCAGTTTAAAATGTTAATGTTCTCACATTTAAAATTTTTCTCACATATAGTATAACACTAATTACAAAATGTAACTTGACTGATTTCTAAAAATCAGTCTGCCTCATACTTCATTCCGAGTTGACCCTTTTTTTATATTTTTGACGCCATTCAATAAATTTCGAAGAATGCATAGTTATTGTATTGTGAGGAGAAAGTAACAACATTCAATGAACTCAAAGTCATTGACGAACAAATATTACACATGAAAAATGTCCTCGGAAGTTTACTGATTCTAATGCTTGAAAGATTTTGCTAAGACAGTGAATATACATCACACCACTAATAAACATATTTCAAAACTTATTTTACAATGCAAATATAACTCTCACGAAGCAGTACATATAAAAAAAACTGAATTCAATTATTTAATCCACAACCTCTTCATTCTCACAGAAACTAATTTCAGTTTTTCTAACAAAAATTCATCTTGTAATTTAAAAAGACGCAAATCTTCTGTTTACCGTAATTCTCCTCAAATCAACCCCTTAAAATGAAATTCACCAGCTCTGGATATAAAACAAAAACACAGAAGTGGAAAAATTCATTTTTTTCAAATATTAATAAATGACAAAAATATCAGAATGTAACTCAAAGTATAAAAATCTACTCTAGCAAACTGTCTTATTTTTTTTTATAAGCTTCAAAGAATTCTAGTTGAAGAACTAGTGAATTCTTTCTCATTTGTAGAGTTCAAAATATGAATTTTGAATGAATTTTATAAAGAACTAGATATTAATAATGAATAACTCCTTTCTGAAAGCTTTCAAACGTTGGGAAATAAGAAGAGTAAGACAAGTCATTCTCTAAACAGAGGAGACTTTAAAGATCTACCCCACGGTATCAGTGTTATGATCATTGTAGCTTGTCATCATGTCAGATTGTGCACAAATAATTTTTCAGTTTCAATTCATGCACTTCAACTTTCCCTAATAAAAAATTCTAAGGTTTATAAATTTAAATTAAGGTTCTTGCATTGCCATGACACCATAAAACTATGTGTGCATTAATTTCACAGAGAAATATAATCCAAATAAATTTGTTTTGTTTTTTTAAAGAAAACAAGAAAGCATACATTGGAATTTTAATATTCAAAAGATCAAACAACTGAAAAATGCTATCAGATTTACTAACTGTAAGGTTCAATTGGTAAAATTTTTGTTTGCAAATTTAAGTTCATGGTTCATGTCTCTTATACAGTATATACTGAGACTAGGTTAAGGTATAATTCAATTGTAACTACACAATAAATATTTTTAATTGTACAAGGTGATCTGCAAGTCTTCTCTGATGAATCACCATTAAGATGAACACATCTGTCACCAAGCTCAGCATGAAGCAAACTGTCAACATCTGCTCTTGTAATGCCTAACATTATAGAATCACTGAGACTAAAATCACTATGACGTATATACTTCTACTATCTATTACAACAATTACTAGACATCTAAAGCCCTTTCAAATAACACCCAAACATCTAGTCCGAAAGTTGTCGTTTTTTTATATTTTTATTTGTTTGTTTTTTAAACAAATCCAATGGTAACCATTTCCAAATCTTCATCTTTTTATTTTTGTTTTAGCTATTTACACCAGGGGCTTCCAAACTTTCAGGTAGGGCACAATTTAATCAATCGTTTCGCAACAAATAATGTTCCAAAGAAAATTTGATTTACTTGCAAAATGCTTTCGAAAGCTAATTATACATTGGTCAAGTGACAATGAAATATAAAAGGAAGTAAAATCTCAAATAGCCAGTTAACCTAAAATAAAAATATACTTTTTACTTTTATAGATGATTTCACCATTTAAAAAAACTCTCTTACCCCAAAGAAAATTGTTTTTAGACACCAGATTTACTCGCTTGAAAATGGAGGTGTCACTGTTTCTACTTTTTGTATCAAACGTTGACATAGAAGCCATATAATTTTTTTTCTCTCCTAATTTTCTTCTTTGAAAAAATGAAAACCAATAACAACTGTTTCACAGAAGGTTTACCTTACAGAAAGGATTTACATTTAAAAACAGAATGACTATAGAACTTTCTAAAGCAGAACAGTTTGTTGTTTTTTTGTGTGATATTTTTTAAGTGGTATTTTTATTTCTTTTAAAAACGGAAATTAAAAACTTCGGTGCATGGGAAGATTCAAATGGCACATATTTGTTTTGGGAAGGGAAAAAAAATTTAAAAAAAGATCCTTAAAGATTATAAATGTTTATGTTGCTGGTGCAGAACCACATCTTCAAAATGCATTGATTCTGCACAGATCACCTGCATAAACCACAAAGCACTCATTTTTATGTGGACTTCAGGTACGTTCACCATGCCAAAAAAAATGTTTCTGACACTACAATTGTTGCACCACACTTCGTTGTTCATCATGTTACAAAACAAATTTTTGCTTGCATATCAAAATCTTTCCTTAATGTACAAATATTTAATATTTCAGTCAATATATGAGAACTGGAATACAGATTACATCCACTTCCAAAATCATCTAATAATATTCACAGCTAACACACTATCAGACTTCTTTTAATGGCATAATGCTGGAAGTTCTGGAAAGTTGTTCAGAAGTCAATGTTGACTTAATTAAACCTGATAAGAGCTCGTTTTAAGTGGGCTCCAACCCTGCAGTTTCAAACCAAACAAAACATGGACGGGACAGAGTGAGCGAGCTGAAAGATGGACAATGTCATGAAGCAGGAAGGAATCTCAAACATCACCAATGCAACGATGACACCATAAGCAGAAAGGCACAACAATTATGAGCAACATTCACTTTTAATATACAAGCAATGTCAAAGCTGGTGGGAAGAATTTCTGTTCATAACAAAGTAACGGTCAACATTCAGTCAAATTGTTGCCTTTCTAGCTGTGATTAATTGAACAGTAAAAACATTACATTCTGAAGAATACTTTAAACAGTTATATTACAGTAACAGCACTCAAGAGGCATACAACCTCAATGGTAAATGGCACAAACTTCTTGATGTAAGTACAACAGTACACTTCTATGACGCAAAGAATAGAGCACCACGTAAAACAAAAGATTCTTCACAAGCTATGCACTTGAAGTACATGCCTAAAATAATTGTCAAGAAAACACTAAAATTCTTCCCAAGGAGTAAAATGAATACATTTCACTGTCATCAACACAAACATCATGTACATCAAAACTTCCAAAGTATTTCAGCACTACACATTCGTTGTAGGTGACTTAGTTTCACCTGAACTAGTAGGAATCATCTTTGTATAGGAGTCATCTGCTTGTTCATTAAATGCAGAAGAAAGAGGAACAGTATTCCTCTTTTCAAAGTGTCTGTGAGGGACATAACCCGAAGTCCCTGCACCTCTGGCACCTTGAGCGCTTGTACTTTCTCTTCCTGCACTCGCTGTATCCAATGAATGAGATCCTTCTCCGAGAGTAACATACCCAGTACTAGGTTTGATCATGCTGCCCTCCCCATCCGAGGTAACATTGATGGGTGGTACTGAACACAAACCTAATCGACAGTATGATTCGGGTGTTGGAGCTTCTCCCTCTAGAGCATCTACATCCAGGATGCTTTGGTCTTCATCCATCCTCATTCCCATCCCCGTGAGTGATGATGGAGATGTCTTATTAGCCATATCCCCAAGTTCTCCAGCCATAACATATCCTTTATTGGGACTTTCTTTTGGACTGGCCCAAGGTAGCTGGTGAGAAACATAACCATGGGATGCAGGCTGAGATACTGGGCTCAGAACTGGAGCTGATGCTGCACTGGGATGTTGTAACTGTGGGCTCAATGTGCCCGTAGAAGATGTAGAGGGTGGGATACTAGGAAGAACCACGTACCCTTTACCAAGGCTGGGCTGTGGAAGCTGCATTTGTTGCATTTGGGAAACTCCTGTTGGACCCATGGGTGAAGCTTCAAGCCCAACTCGACAGTAGCTAGTTCCTTCCCCACTACCACTACCAACTTCTTCACTGCTAGGCATGCTGATATAACCTGTGGAAGACCATGCTCCAACACAGTGACCTGAACTTAAACCTTCCACATCACTCAGATTTGGTGTGCTGCGGTGAGATGCTTTACGAAGACGCAGAGAAGCTCGATCCCATGGAGTGGACTCTTCAAACACACCATCAGGCGAAGGAGGGCGCTACAAATAGAAAATATCAGAGGTGAATTAAAAATACTGGCATTGTGTACAGTATACATTTAACTTAATTGTAAAAATAAAAAATTAATACACACATTCAACATAAGTTACTTCAGAAAACTAAATTTGCAATTCAGAAAAAATATATATTTCTCTCACATCTTTCTCTTCTTATATTCCAAAAATAAGTTTTTAGTGATACAAATGATCTTTCTTTAGGCATCCATTAAAAGAATATTTCATATAATGACATATTGTAGAGAAACAAAATACTTTAGAATTTAGAAAATCGAGCATGTAATCATCCACGTAAATATACATGCTGCCTTTAATTGCACAATTTAATCAAATGACAACCAAATATAACAAAACATATTTCATTAGATGTAAGAACAAGATGTTCATTAAAAGTTTACATTTACATTTTCTGCAAATTGTTGATTTAAATGGTCTCCTTGGAAATATACGCCATCATCTATTTCTTGGGATTATCATATTTATGAGGGTCATAATTCAGAGAATTAATGGTCTTATTTCTACATTTGTATGTAAATAACACTTTTATATTTACAGGAAGCTATATCCCCAAATGTTTGCTATTTCCTGTCTTGTACAAAAAAGTTAATAAAAGCTTAAAACATTTATTTGTTTTTGTTTAATCACACATGATCCTCTTTCCATATCTAGATATTTATGACTGGCATTTATATGTGGTATCTTACAATAACTTTATTTCATTTAAAAGCACATATGAAATGTTGTCTAGTAAAATGAGGAATGACTGATTGCTAACATTGTCCTTGTTGAAAACAATTGTAGTATATAACCAGCATATTTGGCGATGAGTGTTGAAAATTACTTTCAACAATCAGCAAAACGTGTAACACTGAATGATCTACAGTGATATATATCTGGCTTAGAATTTCTTGCACATTTCGTGTGTACAGAATTCTTGTAAATTTTAATGACTTAATTGTTAGGGCCACAACACAAATAATAAGGATCAAGGTTTAATAACGAAAGACATACATTAAGTAAAACAGCAAGACTCAAAAGATAAAAGTTGTGTTCCTTTTCTAACTAATACTAATAATTAACCTTTATTTTACTTGACAAAAGATACCAATTTTTAAAATATATTTTCTGGACTCAGAAAAACAGAAATATCATACAACTCAGTTTTCAAGTCCTAATTACCGAATAGTATTCTTTTGAGGCGGCTTAAGAGAAAATATTAATTTGTATGTATTTAACAATTGAATAATTACCGTACAAAGAGAGAAAATACATTTTCTGATTGCCAGACAAAACCAATGAAAAAAAATAATTTTACTAACAAACTTTCTCTTGAAAAATCACAAACAATAGACCAATTTACTCTGCCACATATTATCTCTAGTTTCAACAAAAACTATACGCATTATTATTTATTCATTACTTTCAAAACTCTACGAATTAATATTCTAATTCATTATTCATGACACTCATTGGGTTTTCTTTATTTTTGATAATGTGGTTCAATTAAAAAAGCTCTACTTGAAAACTTTCAAACATCACAATGCTAATATAAGCCATAAATATTCTCCCAATCCACTAACTCAAATGACTGAGACTTGCATACATTACTTTTATGGACAAGTAATTCTTGTTTCATTATTTTACAATGAAAGGGTAACAGAAGAGGATATACTTATTACACTAACTAAATTTCTGAGATTACTTTGTATAATCTTAAAATTCAAAAGAACCACAAAAAAGTTCTTTCTCTCAATTATCTAGAAAATTTCACCCTCAAACCTTTCAGAAATGTCTAATTACAACATGAGATTTTACAAACTTTTAAATGTTCTCTTGTACAGCTGTAAAATACAAGGTAAGTAGACAAACTCACCTACCCAAGCAGTAATTCAGACATTTAGAAACTACAGTCTGTTCTAAACACAGTTTAGATTTGCTTTAATTACTTGGGGTCAGAATATTGGGTGATGTAACTTATAAATTCCTACAATTAATTTTTTCATTTGAATTTAATATATTAAAATTTCAGACAATAATGCAGCAACAAAGAGAACAAGAAATAATATTTTATGCTTTTGAAAGCAAACTTTTACCTAGTTACTAACAATCATTTAGGAAGAGAAAAGAATCACAAAATAACAGAAAACAAATATTTCCTATTTCTACCACTCAAATCACAGAGTTTGTCACTTTGAGTGCTTGTACAATAGGAATAAAATTTACAGTATCAATGTACTGCTTTACATTATGTGTATGTTATTCATGGTATATGTACTAGTATGAATATTCATAAGCATTTTCTTCCTCAAATGTCTGTATTCGAAAATAATCTGCCTAATTTTATTTCTTCTTGTAAATTGCTGTATACATAAAACACTAAACTTAAAAGGAAAGGTGAAAATCTGTATTTGAAAGTTTCCATAAAAAGGAAAAACAACTGAGACTTATTACACCCAAAATAGTGCTTATCTAATCAGTCAGAATTATTAGAATTGTTTTTAATCATGAAAGTATCTTTAGTACACAAACTTGCACATACAACAAATTCTATCCATTAGATATATACAGAAAGTACTACACTTTACAGGAACTGTATTATGAGGACACTTATGTAGCAATAATGGAGATATCATAAATCACATTTTGCAACTCTTATGTGTCATCCATTACCGTACCATTTACCTTCTGTATCTTCATTTTTAGAAGGATTAATATAAAAAATCAAGATCGTTAATGCTCTATCATTATTTAGATAACTTAAAATTATGTGTTTAAAATAGAATATGAAACTTTCAGTCACAAGAAACAATTCACAATAGGAGAAAAATAATATTCTGTAAATTTGTTAATCTTAAACAATAGCAGTGTTTGTTCCATATTATGTGCTAACTACAAATACACTGCTATGAAAAATATTTTAATACACATATAAATAAGCAATTATTTATAATGTAAGTTATTATAACTTTAATAAAATATCAAATACCAAAAATCACATATGATTAATAAATCCAACCTCAGAAGTTTCAAAATATTATAAAATAACGAAAACAAATCTTAACAGCATATTATACATTAATATTTCTTTCATAATTACAGTTGCAGCCACCACCACCATCGCAACCATCACCAAAAACATTACATTTTCCATCCCAACACCACTGTTGGCATTCTTGGCAAAGTAATCTCAATAATATGAATGATTTTGTTACAAATATTCTGATGAACCGAGTGTGTGTGCTGCACTTCTTAACTCAACAGTGGTTGAGAGTACAAGCAGGCTGCTGAGCTCACCTGATCCACCTCAGTGCCTGAATCAGAAGAAATCTGAGTGCCTGACGTGAGAGAAGAGGAGACACTCTCATGGCCAGAGCTACACCCACTGCTATCACCGCTGGGATTGCGACCATGGCGCTCCTCCTTCTTCTCTTTCTTCTTGAGCAACAGCTGCATGCAACAGGAATTTTTTAGGACCACATGTTTAAAATAACTATTACACAACTTGATGACATCTCAATTTTGTTTTTAAATTAAAAGCAAAATTTTAAAACAAAAAAGGGGGCATAAATTTAAATGTTCCTTTATATTAACAAAATAATAATAACTCTACATACAATAGCTCATTAATAAATACAACAGTTGAGAAAATAATTAAATTAACTTATTTTAATATTCTGAAAATTTATTCACAAAAAAGAAAAAAAGAAAGAAATAAAAAAAATCTAAAATTAGAATGCTGAAAAATAAACTGTAAATCTATAAAGAAATGAAATAATGTTCCCAAAATTTATACGAAACAAAATAAATTGTATGTGATTCTTAAAAAAAAAAAACAAGTGACTTAATGGACTTAAATAGTGATTCTACAAGAGGTTTATAAGAGTTGCAACTTTGATTAGACTTTCCATTAAGGAGAATGGTATCTACAAAACAAAAAAGAAAATCATGAAAATGACAGTGTCGTCTTGATCCTTAATAAACAAGATATTTCTGGACATAACCAAATGCATGATTTTGAGCTTTTTGATGGATCAATAATACAATTGTTCCTTTATATTACACAAGAACTGTCACACAGTCATGTTGACTGCTTTTAAATTTTAAATGAGCTGATGTCACCATGATGTTTGTTTAAATTTATTATGGGTTTATGAGCTTCCCTACCTTACTGTATAGATCATAAATGCAATGTAGTACTACATTTTTTTCTGTGATTAGTTACATCACCATTCACACTTATACTAAAAACCATTATGTTGACTGTTAAAACAAAACTGTTTCAAAATCAAAATGTACTAAGACACTCAGATGTCAAAATTCATAGCATGTGCAATTTAAATTTCCTACCTGACACAGCTTTTAGAATTAGACTAAGTTTGATGACAATATATTACACCAGATGACAAGAAAATAATTAGTACATACTGGAACAATTTTATTGTCAGTGCCTGTTAATCATACTCTTCTTGATCTAGCAGCTGTAAACTTGTGAATTAAAAATATCCTCAAAGATAAAATAACAAGTAATGTAAGTAAAAGAAATATTATTTTGAAACGTGGAAGAACTATTTGAAAAGAAAATACAATACAGAAATTGATTGAGGAAACAAATAGGACATAGAGGCAGTGAAGTGGTCACCCTAAAAGGAAGACATGGCCAGATGAAGAAATGTCAAAATAAAACAAAAAGGAAAAATAAATTTCTGTGGATCCTGCACACGAAAAATAATATAGAAGATTCATGTGAATTTTGACGATAGAATTAAAGAAATAATGTTAATTGAAAGGTGTATCAATATCTTTTTCACTGAAACTTTTATTATCTGTTACAAGGGTGGAAATACTATTCTTAAATATAGAGTAGATGATGCAGGCAATGTGACTGCATTTATGAATTTAAGTATGTGTAGTTCCAACGGTTCTAGGGTGAAGAGTTACAGAATTTTGAATTGTAATAATATTAAATATTTTGATTTTTGTCTGCAAATTGAAGTTCGTATACAACATTCTATTAATGTAATTTCTAATCATTGAAGCACTAAATTAAAATGAATTAGTTGGAAATATCTCGTATTGATGGTTTTTTAATATCCTTTATCTTATTCAAACTCATTTTCACATTACAATCTTAATAAATTGCCAACAAGATATGTCCACAGTGAATAAAATTCTCCAGGTCCTTAATTCCACATTAATGCAGCTAGAGTTGTTAGCTAAATTGTTTAACTACTCTCTGTGAAGTCATGGAAGTTATGAAACTTGAGACATTTGTGAATTCCTGAATGGGTGACTATCTGAGCGACCTAGTTAAAAATGGCACAGAGCCCCATAGCCGAAGAGATAAAAGGCAGTGTCTGACTGCAAAAACATGAGAGAAAAGACAGAAATTAACCGAAAATTTCTCCATATTTATATACATGCTCAATGCCCCAAAAGAGGAGGCCGACATAGTTGCAAAAAACAGAATTTAAAAAAACACTGTAACTACTTCCTGAAACTTTCCAAAATCTCCACATTTATTTCTTTTTAGCATAATAAAGAAATTGCTTCAGAAACTTGCATTTGTAAAATATAAAAATTGATTTAATCATATATTCGCAATAACTTACGTATTTACCAATAGTTTTGGAAATTAACTTTTTTATTACTGGCTGGTAACTATCATTAAATATGAGTCTTTGATTGTTTCAATATCAGTGAATCATAGAAATTCAATTTAAAATACAATACAAATACCAGTTTGGAAAAAAAATTTAAAATGTTTTTGCTGCAGTATTACAATACTTCCTCTATACTATGTGAGTAATATACGAGAAAGTAAAAACTAATCAATAACAACATTGTGTAAAGGGAAAAAAGAAAAAGATGTAAAGAAAATATTTTTAAAAAATAGTTGATAAGAGTAAAAGTAGCTATGTACATCAGTATATGTTCTCTAAAGGAAAAAGACAAGCAAATTTTCCCAAAAATATTTACACATACTAAGTATGAATATTAACCAAAATTTGTACACAATACACAATTGGCAATCATAAGACAAAGTAACAATAATCTACAATTACTCTCTATATGCTGCTATTAAATAATATCAGTGGTGCAACCAGGATTTATTTGGGGGAAGAGCGCTATGGATAGTATCTAGCCAAGTTTAAGTTTTCTTATAAAGAATTTTCCATTTATGCTGAATTTAAATTTAAATTTATTTGTTCAATTTTAATTATTTATAATGTATTCTATCGAGGTTTTGAGTAGCTTTCATTACTATAGAAAATTAGTAAAAACTATATGGTGAATGTGTCACTAGCTTCAGGGTTTATGGTAGAGGCTGTAGCCCCACAAGCCCCCTGACCCTCCTCAGGTGTGTCAATGAATAATATGAAATACATTTTTGCTTTCCTTTCCAGTTCTTCTGCATGTAGACAGAATAGATTTTCATTTATTAACCAAAGGATTAAAGAGAAAAAGAAAAGAAAAAAAGTTAGGATGAGTGGTTGATTTCTGAATAAATATTTCACCACTTCTGATCTTACCTCTTCATCTGCAGAAGTTCGCACTTTTCCCGTAAGATGGTGGTCATGATCACCAGATGTCCAAGTAACATCAATAGGATAATCTTGATCCTTTTCCTTATCCTTGAAGAAAAACAACAAGAAATTTTTAGTATAACAGAAACCAATAACTACAACAAATCCTGGTGTTTCATTTAGAAAAGTTGTTAACAGTTTTAAAAGTAGTCAAACAATATCCTACATTGTATAAGAATCTCCAAATCTTTTAATTTATAAATATTGTATTTTCTTATCACATTTGTAGTTCGCAAAACAGGTTACATGTTGCCATTTTAAAAGCAATTAAATTACACAAATATTTAAATGATTCTTAATCACTATGGAATTTAACAATTTCAGGGACAAAATACACCGCAATATGCGGGAATTACAATTAAGTGGTAAAATAAAGTTCTCAAGCACATTCAAAAAATTCACACTGAAATACTATCTACAAAGTTATAAGCCCTTTGTTTGATTTGAGTTTGAACAATACGAATTATTCACAAGTTTACACAAAGCAAACAATATTTACAAAGAAGCAACAAATCACTGAAACAAAAGCTAAATTCTTAATATTTTGAATGGAAGTTCAAACATGTTAACATACACTTGAGAATCAGAATTTTTTACCTACAATAAACAGAGATACAGGCATTTTCTTTTATATTTCTTTTTCTTGGCAACCTCAAGTTCATTCAAAGAAGCAAGTTTTATCATACATGATCAGACACTTTTGTAATGAACAATGAGAAAATAAAATTGCATACTATAAAACTAAATGATGAAATACAAAAATTTGAAGCAATAATATGGAATTTACTGAAATGAACAATAGTAAAGAAAGAAAGATAAAACAAGAAAAATAATCAAAATGACAGGAAAAAGGATAAAGAAAAATAATCAGTCTAAAAACGAAACTATTTGGCCTGCCTCAGTCCATCGTCTGAATGTAACATCACATTTTTTGCATTCTTGAGTCTAGAATTCACACACTACAGAGACAAAGAACTCTTTGAAGAAGTTTTCTTAAAGAGAACAGTCTGTTCCACAGGCCAAAAAAAAGTAGGCCATAATTTTCAGAACTCAAACAAATGCAATCATTTCAAACAGTTCCCTTTTCTATTTGAAAAAAATTGAAATTTGAAAAAATGAAACTTACCCCAACAGGAGCAAGGCCAGGTGGAAGCTTCACTTCTACTTGTTGCATTTCCTTGCAGCACTTCCATACTCTGCGACACACAAAAGAAATAAATGCTAGCTATTATGTCCAGAAGAACGCATTTCTACACAAGGCCATCAAGAGTCACACAACCAACAAAATGGGCAAGTCATTCGGACCTATCTTTCCCAGAAACCTTTTACTTTACACAATACTGACTTTGTCATGCTTTTTTTGGTCTCTGCTGCTCCTATACCTCACGAACAGTCTGTTTCTAAATTGTCTCTCTCCCTAAACAACAAATACAGTATTTTTCAGAAATTCACAGATATTTCCATAAATACCCATTAATAACAGTCCCTGCAAAATTCTTAAGTTTCCACTTGTAACCCATCCACTCATTTCATTATTGCAAGAAAATCAATAGATTTAGAAGGGAATACTCTGACAAACAAAAGCATCTCATTTTCAAGCAGTCAACAGTACTAAAAAGACATTTCTAGAAAGACTGAATCTTAAAAAAAGAAGGGATTTTTTTCTTCTTCTTTCCTCCGTTTTTTTGCAAATGTTTCAAGTATCTACTCAGGACACAATAAGTCCTCACAAGAGACTTCCGAGAAAAATTTCCTTTTGCCTTACACTGCTTCACAAACTACCTATTCCAGGAAAAAATTCTCTGCTGCTAGCTTAAGCTTGTTCTGTGAATTCGAATACTAAAGTCAAGGCAAGCTTGCTCCATGGTTCAAAGCATCAGTCTGCTGCTGGCAAGCACCACTTCTGCAGCAAAGCTCTTCTTCTCCGGGTGAGTCTCATATACATTCTAAAAGTATCTCATTTTTATCATATCTTGTGGAAGTACATAATGGTAGACATTTGAGGTTACATGATGTAATACTAGTGCGTGGATTTTTACCCCATTTTAACATGTTTACACCCTTTACTTTCATGACAAATTATTATTTTTCCCAGCAAATTCTTAACAATAGTCAGACAGCAAATTTGGTTGGTCTAATAGATATTGTAAATTACCGATATGATGAAAAAAGATTAAAATCAAAGTGTAGAATTTTAGAAGAATTTGCCTTACACACACTTATTTTTAAAAATTAACTTGGTACAAATTTTATCGAACTTGTACGTGAAGAGTTTTTGAGCTGGTGTCAGTCAAGAAATTGTAAGAGTTTCATTTAAAGATATTCTTCTCTTTAACACATGGCTTAAACTTGCCAAGACAATGGTCATATGAGTCAATGAGATTTATCTACATCTTTTGTCAATGACAAAATGCAATTGTGATTTATATTGTAATTTCTTGTTCAGAGACCGCAAAATATTTTAATATTTTCAATTCTTATTTCTTTACTAGAAGGGAACGCATGTGTTTGCTTTAACTTATAAGATCAAACATTCTTCGAAGTGATATTTTAACTAGTATATTTTTGGATATTTTAAAATGATGATTAATATTTAAAATTATGTAAGTGGGCAAATTCGATGCCAACAGATATTTGAAGTGAAATACATTTCTGACATACATAAATATTACTTTCATGCATTACAAATTACTAAATGAAACTTACCTCTTCCCAACACAGGCAACAGCAATACACAGGGCAGTGACAACAAGGAAACCAACAACATATATAGTGATCTTAACCGCAAGAGTTGGACCTACAACAGAAGAATTAACCCAATTCAAGTAAGTTTATTAAGAACAAATGTATTGTATTGCTAAATACTTCTTACAACTCAGCAATTTGAACCAACTCAGAATTGCTTACAAAAGTAAATGCTTAGAAATTGTACTTCTCATGTTAAATGTAATAACTTGTATGTATATTTAGCTAATAACTGATTCACAATTGTTAAGTATCAGTAAAGACTTTAAACACCAAAATTTAATTTAGAAATGCCCAGTAAATAGAATATTTCATTATAATATAAATGCCCTTGCAACATTACCCTACGTTCCCTTTAATGTAACAGAAATTTATTTTCCATTTTCACAGCTCAAAGAAGAAATGACAACAAAAAAGATTAAACCATTATCACTTGATATTTTAATAATACAAACATGTTTATAATAAAAATGAAATTTAAAAATATGGAATGGTGAACTGGTATATACATTAAACAAAAAAACAAAATGTTTATTTATATGAAAATATCAGTAAACAAGTATAAAAAGTAAAACTCATGCTTGGGCAATTTCTGCTTCTCTATTCTTCAAAACTCAAAATTTGTGTATTCAATGGAAACACCTATAGCTACGTTCGTAATTTTTTTGTAAATAAATTCGTAATTTGAATATTTTGTTAATTAGTCCTTTATTTTCTCTTATATATTAAGAGAAATAGATATTAACAGAGGATGAATTTATACAAAATTGTAACTTATTCTCTCATGAAAAATCTGTAATAAACACCTCAAAAATGTTCGTCAAACATACTTTTATATTTATTTAATTTTTGTCTTTTACATAGAATTTAAGTATTTAAAAAGAAAAAAAATCTATGAATGAAAGATATTCAGAGAGATTGGGTTCAGGTGGTCAGGTGGTTAATGAGTGAAAACATTTCACTATGCAATATGTTCATGTGACAACATCATGTAAATTTCATAATCTTACTGAATAAATAAAATCTTGATTCATTGATTTAGAACATGTACTTCATTCTCTACCACCTTCCTACACTTCCCACAGAGCATTGCAGAGTCAAATGCTGAAAAGAATTCTTAGCAAGAAATACCCTTTTTATTTAATGCCAATTTCAAACTACAATAAAAGTTAAATAAAATGTGCTTTGCACATTCAATTCAATAAGACTATGGCCATCAACTACACTACAGTAATCAAATACTCCTATATTTAGAACTATTCATTCACTTCATCTTTATTATAAAGTTTTGCTTTACTAAAAGTTTTGTTATTTACAAAAAATATTTCAGGGGAACCTAACGACTGTATACTAGTTCAAATTATGGGATATTTCCAGGATGATCAAGGACAGTGAAAGCCAGGAAAACCAAGTTTTATTATCTGTAGTCATGCATATAGTTCCATAACTATTCTCAATTGCAGTACCATTTTTATCAATTTCACTACTATTAATGTATGAAAGATAACTGGGATAATAGAAGAAAATACCATTAAATGAAAGGGCATAAAACAGGTAATACATGAATCGTAGTTGTATGGATAATTAATTGAACTGCACATAATTACGATGTTTTCAGACTTAAACTTGAAATGATTTATTAAAATCAAGTTTATTTTATTTGTTCAGTTCAAAATTAAAACCTAAAGAAGTGCAAATACCTTCTGTAAACAAATAAATAAACTAATATTTTTCACATGCCAAGAATCTTCTCCAAACATCATTTTCAATGCTGAACTTTCTAAACTTTCTGTACTAAAATAACTAAATCTAGAATATCAAAATACACCCACACACACACACACAAATAATTAAAAAATGTAAAAATTATAACTTGTGAACTACAATTTCTTTCTAAGGGAATATTTGAGTTTGTCATTTGATTTTATTTCATGAGACAAAACCAATATCAAAACTGTACAATGTTATACTTAAGTTAATGAACCTGCAATAAATGCAATAGGCATCCTAGTAAATATATGCTAATTATGATAATTTGCTTTAATTCTTACAGGAGTCCTAAATTAAATGCTACATCACATATATGCAAAGACACAGTTATCTAAGCCCTCACAAGTTTATACACACCAATGTACACAAACACACAATTTCACAATACATTAGTCCTTTTCTTAATTCACATTAACTTCAAAATTTAAATTAATTATAACTTGTAAAAGCCACTCTACTTTCTAAAATACAAAGTCCAAATTGTTCCCTAAATTCACAAAACTCTTAAGAATATCTATCATTTGCCATCACCAGTTCATCACAAAGAGCTGTTTTTGATGTTTCCCAAGCGTAGGAGATACCATGGGATGACAACAAGAGGAATATGATTACCTGAACTATAGCAGGTTGTCTCGCCAGGATCGCTCCAGGGTCCATAATAAGATTCATTCTTCTCTCCTCTATTTACTGCTCGTACCCAAAATGTATACTTCACACGTGAATGATCTTTACTACACTCAGGAATAGGTATCTGAGATACATTGTCTGAAACAGAAAAAGGATACTATTAGAATCAGGAAAGGTAGCAGTTAGAACAGTAAGTAACCAGTCTTTCTTATCAGGTTTGAAATCTGTAAACTTGGGCACATCGTTAAGGCCACAATTTCCCAATGTTTCATAAATGTTGAAAACTAGACTTCACATTAGTGCCACATATTCAACCCTTTCTCTTTACCTTCTTTTAAATATTGCACCATCAAAGAGTAAGAAAACTTGTTTGTGTTGCAACTAAACATTTTACAAACCATCACAAAAACTAAGGATACAACTGATTTACAAAGAAACATTAATATTCTGTATAATTGGAGAGATAAACATAATACACTAGTTAATTCATCCAAATGTGTTTCTTTAACTTTTTATTGTCCAAAAAATAACTTAGTAATGGACTCTCATATAGACATATTACCTTTAAAAGCATCAATCAGGTAGAAGATCTAGTCATAATATTTTGTGACAGATGATCTTTTCTACACATGTAGATGTAATAACAAATCATTACAAGAGTTATAATTTGTGAAAAGGTTCAGAGAAGTGTTGCATCATTAAGTGGTAATTAGAATATTGTATCTACATCTGGTAAGATCTTTATTACTACTCAGTTGCAGAGTTAGGTCTCCATATTTCAATATTCATATAATGCATAAAAATTATATATCACAAATTTTAGAATGTGTGAATTTTTAGAATTCAGATCTCCTCAATAAATATTCCTGATTAATTACTTAATCAAAATTATTTCATCAATCTGTAAATACGCTTTTGCACAAACACAGTGTCTCAGAATAAATGTTACAAACTTCCTGGGCATGCGGGAATCACTCTTGGACAATAAATAAGTGGAGAAATCTAATATAATGAAGTTCCATAAATGAAATTTACCCCTGATTGTCAGACAAGTCACAATGCATTCATGCTTGATGAGTCATTAAATCTTTTTGACTGTGACTGAATGTGACCTACCAACCACCAGAGCGTGGTGAATAGCAATTAAGGAGCGAATATTGCATGTACACAGGGATAACTGAAAATTCCCATCACATGTTTATTGGCAAAAAGTTATCATCTTCGATTTGCCTACATGTCCTCAAAGTCAGTAACATTTATTCTCAGACACTTTATTGTCTCTTCAATAAAAATTATCTCAGTGGATCGGTTAGTTAAATAATTTTATTAATTATAATCATTAGGACAGGCCTAACATCATGAGTAAACTGTAAAAAAATAGTTAAATAATAAAAAATAAATAAAGAACTTACCGGTACTTATAAACACATGAGGAGTGCTGTTTCCAGCACCATCAAATTGCTGGACACGAACTTCATAAAAATCAAGTTTTCCACCTCGTTCGCCATCCTTAGGGAAACCCCAATTAACCAACACTTGGGAATCATTGAGGAACTTTGCTTGAGGCGTTTCCAATTTTCCAGGATCTAAAACAAAGCCCTTGTAGAGTTCATCAGTCAAATTATACATATCAAAAAAGAACAGTAAATATACATACTTCCAATCCTTGTTCTAACTTCAATAGGAATAGATCGCTCAGAACAATCTACAGTGCATGCCATAACGCTAATCTTGTATTTTGTGAAGCTTGTTAAATTGTCCAGTACAAACTGAAAATGAAAATAGTAAGTGTAATTAATTTTAATCAATCATTATAAATGTCTGAGAAAAAATCTCAAAGAATTAGTCATTTTGTGTAACATTAAAAATTCCAAAATTAAAAATAACATTACACATAAGAATATTACTATTAACATTAATGAATTAATAAATACAACATACTGAAGTGACATTCTTTGTCTCCACTTTTCTGTACAAATCTGTATGTCTAAAACTGTAGTGAATTTTGTAAAAGCGAAGTACACCATTCATTGCAGCCGGAGGTATCCAATGAACAGTCATTGATGAATTGGTAACTTCCGTCACTGTGACATTAGTGGGTGGTTCAGGAGCTGAAAAAAAAAACCCAAAATGCTTAAGTGTTACAGATTGTTATAAGAAGAAAAAATATTTGAACATGAATTCAGTCAATCTGCAGTTAACTTCAATGATGAAGTTTAATGAATAAAATGAATTTCCTTAATACTCTCATGATTGCATATACAAGAATTGCCCTTTCATTTAATTTTAATCTTGTAGTTGTACTGTGTCTGTAATCTAAAACTCAGAAACCAGGATCCTGAATCTGGGAAAGGCTGGAACCAGCTCAAATAAGATTCCTTAGTCAATTCCTTAACTATAAAACAACAGTGGATCAATGAAGGAACAAATACAAAGAAAAAGACTTAAAAACACAAATATAACAAAAGTAGTTAAAGAATAAGGAGAAATGGCTGAAGCATATTAAAATGATGAATTGAAAAAAGAAAGGGGCTGCTCTAAAATACAAACCACTAGAGAAGAAGAATATAGGAAGAACAAAAAATAATGGATCACACAGGAACACCTGAACGATTAATATCTTTTTCTGTCCCATTGTTTAAAAGTAATAATAATAATAATAATAATAATAATAATAATAATAATAAAAATAACAATAAGTCACATATAATAACATAAGCCATGTATGACAAGTCAAATTTATATTATTACCTATATACTTTAATATAATTTTGGTATTTAATACAACAGTTGATAAAATAAAATTAATTTAGGATAATCAATACAGCCATTGAAAAGAATATAATACAACATGCAAATTAACTTTTTTAGGTGGCAAAGCAGCAGATATAATACATTTTTGAAAAATCAAAAAGCCTACAACAGCTCTATACTAAAGGTCTGATTGTGTTGGTGATATCAAACACAGAACAAAATGAAAGGATTAGAAGTTTACATTGATGGAGATGCATGTTTATTATTTATACACTCTTTGTACTGTAGAATGTACACTTCTGCTAAACCAAGAACAGGTCTCTGACCTTTCATCCTATTGTCAAAGGTGATGATGATGATGATGATGATTACAAATATATACAATATAACACCACAGCACGTTTCCAAATACATCAACAACAGAGGGTTTCAAAGAAGATTCATTAAAGGTCTATATTTAATATGATTCTCTACACAAGTCAAACCCATCAATGAGGTTACGAAATTTGTGCTTAAGAAATGTTTGCCCTGAGGTCGACTCAGTACTGTAAGATACATCTCCACTACTCAGAAAAACATATCTGGGCAATTAATAGAATGCAGAATTAACAGTTTCATCATTTAATAAGATCTCATTGTCGCTTACCTTCAGTTTGTTTGACTGGCATTCAGCCACATCATACTATAGTTACAATGTTTATTAAATTGTTGCATATACTTATTGTCACATTGTAAGAATATGTGCAAAAACTATTTTTTGGAGGAAAGAACTCATGGCACTTCTGTTCAGTTTTTCTCTTTGCTTAATTTTTTGCTATTTTCATTGTTACAAGGTGTGTAATTGAAGCATTCTCCTGATTAAGGACGTATCTGCTCATATGCACTTTTTCTGGTGATGTGTTTAAAGGAACTACCATAGTTGATTCTGTAACTTCAGAAAGTTCTGTTTTGATACAAATATGTATAGAGTGTTTGTAATCTTCTCTGGGACTGCAGCTGTGTTTTTATGTTTCCAGTAATGAATACTGATGAAGAAATCAATTTGCTTCACAAAAACAACATTTTTATGTAATGTAGAGACAGACACTGAATTGAAAGTTATACATGAAATTCTAGTAAATTTCATGTAAATACACTTAGCTGATGAATTTGTTTTTTAATTCATTTATTCTACCCATCATATATTACATTCTACTAGTATTTTTCAGTTCATTTCATGTTTTTTAGGGAAAGGGCACTTTGAATACTATCCCAAAATATCTTGTGGAATATTGAAATAAATAAATATGTCAAAATTACCTTATTTACCTGAATACAGAAGGACCCCCTAATTTGGGAGAGGCCTTTTTGAGTTTTTTCTTCATTTTTAACAATTTGTTACTATCCAGTCAAAATAAAATCACAAATTGTCATATTGACCAGAAAATTGTCTTGACAAGGATTATTATTTTTGCCTAACCTATCACTATTATTTTTTTCCTCCTTATAAAACTAAACATCATCATTGTTTTTGTCACTACTTCATTATCATCAAATATGTCATTATCTTCAAATATATCAAAACTACGTCATTATCTTCAAATATTTCGTTTTTTTTCTTGCTAGTCCTCCCCATACTATGCTGTCCTCTGGCCTGGACTTTTTGAGGCCCCCATCAAACACTTTAAGAGTGTTTAATTTGTATACATCTTTCATCCGACACAAAAAGAAATTTAATTCTGTGTTCCCAGATTTCTTTCCTATTGCACTCTTGTCTGTGGCTTCTCATTCTTTAATGATCATTTACTTGAATAATTGAGATTGAGTTGTGAACTGCGAACACATACATCTCTGTGTCTCTATACTGCAGATAGCTTGGGAGAGAGCAGCGCAACATCCAAAGTTTGGAAAATTTTTCTAAGGCATTTTTCAAAATAATAATAATAATAATAATAATAATAATAATAATAATAATAATAATAATACCTATTATTATTATATTTATTATTATTATTATTATTATTATTATTATTATTATTATTATTATTATTTCTTTTTTTAGAATATAGAATGCGAATGAAAGGGAAATTATACCATTTCATTTCCTTATTTCTCTTACAAAATGCAGATTTGCACTCCTCAAGAGTCGCACTGAGTCTGTGAGGCCTTGCTGTTTTATGTAAAAAACATATTGGGTAATAAAAGTCATCAACAATTGTTATTAATTTTGATGTGTTATTTCCTTCTTTTTTTTAATGCCAAGAATATTGTCCATGAATATAATGTATTTAAAGATGTTTGTGGCTTTATACTGTATTGTTACATCAGCATTCAATACTCTTGACAAGGAAAGTAAATATAAAAAAATTTGCACAAATAATAATATTAATTAGATTTGCACTTTGTAAACACGTTAGGTTGACAGCAAGATTAAATATGGAACATCAATGGTAATGACGATAACGATGATGAGTGCCATGATCAGCTGCTATGCATAGGTGAGTGAGGAAGCTTACACTTCTAGGCCCTCTCCTTTCCTGGACAAGGAACCACAGTGGTGGTTGCCATTGCCATCTTTTGGATGGATGATGCCAGGGATGATAATGAGGTGTCTGAGATGATGAATCATATGGTGGTTAGGACTCGTAAAGCTGTTTGCAGTTGACATATACATTAAAAATAAGCAAGAAAGTTCTATTAAGCTGCAAAGTTGTAAATGTGGAGTAGTTATAAAAATAATTTAGTATTTTTTGTATATTTTTCCTTTACTTTGCAGATACTCTACAAAGATAAATGTACTTAGGGCTGTTCAGGAAATTAGTTCACAAAAGCAATTATTTTTTTACAGCTTCACCCTCTCATACAATTTCTTAACAAACATTTTCTACCATCTCAAGGGTATGTTTGCACCACCCCCACTCATGCATTACAAGTGACAGAATTACTGATTTAATATAAAAACTCTATCCATACGTTTACTTGGTAAATCATTTAGAGACACTTTTTCCTCTACTACTCTAACCATAAGTTTTCAAATGAGACACAAATATTGGAAGTGAAAGTTTTCAATTACTCCCCACCCTCCCCATTCTACAATTTTATATAGAAGTAGCCAATTCCCTCCCCCATTATGCATTTATTTTTTGTGGCCCCTTTCTATATTGCTAAAAACAATTTTAAAACAGAAAAAATCAAATTACTGCAAACCATATTTTAACGTACAACTCTATTATGAAATCTTAGTTTGGTTGAAAGTTACACGCAACTGCCTTTGGTAGAAAGTGAATAGAAGCAAAAGATGAAATACACCCAATCCACTAAGAACTTCCACTCACCTGCTTCCATTGTTGTGTTGAACAATGGATCACTGGGTGTGCCTTTGCCATTATTAGTAAGAATGGCAATGTTAACCATATATGTAGTATATGGACGGAGACCAGTAACATTCCCATGAAATTGTCTTTCAGATGGTTCAAGTTTAATGGTTTGCAAAGGTTCTTTACAAGCAGTCTCACGAGGTGAAACAATAGGACAAAAACCTATCTCAAAGGCTTCAACTCGACCAATCCGATCTGAACATTCCAATTTCCATCCAACTTCAATGAATGTTGAACCAATGCGATTAATCCAAACACTCTTCATTTTGTCAACAACTGCAAAGATAATATATGTAATTGTCACTAAAAAAGTGATATGAAATATACCTTAGTCCAAGTACCGCATAACAATATCTAATTCATACCTTTGTTGTGAATGACTGTACAAGAAGCCCATACCATACCACTACTGGCATTTTTGGTATTTGCAGATATAGCAAATTGATATATTTTAGAGTCATCAGGCACTGTAATATTTTTTAATGTAACATTAGCAGGAACAACTGTCCAATTCAAAAGTCCCTGCAAACAGAATTCACCAGTAGTTACAATTCTGTAAATCTGGAAAATTCATGCAAGACAAACATTTCTGAGCCTTACATTGCACTGATAAGGTCGATCTCGCCCATTTAGACACCAGAAGATCGTATAACTTTCAATATTTGGAGATTCCGAAGGAGCCTTCCAAGATAATTCATAAATGCCATCATGAAATGCAATTTTAGTGAAGGAAACTGGTTCTTTTGGCACTAAAAAAATATTACAACATAAGAACACTTAGTTGCAGAGTAACACTTCAAATACACTCGTGGTTATCTCATTTACAGTCATCGTAAAATTATATGCTCTCTGTATATGACATCCAAAAAAATTGTTTGTGTTCTTCTACTGTTTGCATTGTGTGTTCTGTGATGTACTAAATATATCAAAAAATTAATTGAAACTGCTATGTTGTAGCACCAAGTTATCCGTATTTACAAACAGAGAAACTATGTTGAAGCAATAATTCAGAATAAATGATGTGAAGTTGGGGAGAAAATCTTGTACAATACCCAATGATGTCCCCTCCCAATCACGAACAAAAGTTATTCAATGTCTAAATTAAATATGTTTAAAATACCCAAAAACCACATTAAAAAAAATTAAATTCAACATTAATGAAATATTGAATTAAATACATTAAAAATTTACAGAAAATTTAAGTCAGCTGGACACTACACCTATCCCCCACACACACATGCACAAACATACACACAGGAATCCTGGTGGTGCCACTGGTAACATGCATAATGTATTTTGTGTGTTTCTTTTTTATTATATCTAATAGCAAGAAATTATCTGTTGATATTTTGTGTAAGCTAATGCCATTTACACACCTCTAAAAGGGTTAAGAAAAAACTGTGAGAGGTTTTTAATACTTACTGTCTTCCTTAGTTGGCACATGAACCACAGATTTGGTTAATGAATCTCCAACAATATTTGTTGACACTATAGAAAACTCATATGTATTGTAGGTTAAACCTTTGAATTTTGCATATGCAGAAGAATGATTATATTCTAAATATCTAAAAGAAAGGGAAAAAAAAGCCAAATGTTATATTGAGCTGAATTATGAACATTTAATTATGAAAACACAAGAAAACTAACCTTTCTATGCCATTCTCTTTAACAGAAATAACTTTATAATCAAATTTATCTCCATTGTGAAGGGTAGGAGGAACTTGGCGCCAATATACATATACATCTCGAGTGCCTGCATCAGGAATCACCTCAAAGCTGCCAATTACTGTTTCCGGTGGAGCTCCAGGAACTGTACAGAAAGGAAGAGTAAATCTAAAATAGTAATGAGTAAGCTCTTTGTAAGTCAATAAGCAAAAACTTAAAAATAAGAAATAAATAAACACATCTAAAATTGCTATAATACATGGAATTCCTGGTTTCCCTAATCTTCATATACCAGAGCACTGTTACAATCCCAACGAGGGGAATTTCTAAAACGATGAGAAATTGTGTATTTACACAAAAAAACTTTAAAAGGACATAAATCAAGTTCAGAAACAATTTATATTCCTACCTGATTTTGATTTTCTACAAGTGCAATAAATCAATCAAATGCATGTGACAAAATCAATATTTTTCACATATTTTTTTACACGTATTTCTTCACACGTATATAAATACAATATATTTAGATATGGTTGAATTGTACATTATTGAAGTCAAACAATAATCATTTAAAATAAAAAAAAATATAATTTGTAATTACCTGTTGGTGGAGTTTTAAAAGTCACTGATGCATAGTGGGACCACTTGTCATCACCAACAGCAAATGCAGATCGTAAATACACACGAACATCATACAAAGTATTTGCATAACTAAGAGGAGCTAAGTGATATGTTTGATTCGCTAAATGATCAGATAGGTAACTGGTGTTGGCCACCTAAAACCACAATAAACAGAACATTTACCATCACATTTCAACAGACAAAGGGATTTAACAAAGATTTTCATAAAATAAAATATTTTCTAGTAAAATTTGGTTGGACTTACATGCCACCTTTCATTATTATCATATGTAGATTGATACACCATGCGAGTATGCACTCCAGGAGGAAATATCTGCATGGGAAATGGTACATCCCATGTAAGAAATGCGCTGTTGTGAGTAGTATTTTCCACCGTTAATTTTTCAGGTGGCGATGGAATTACTAGAAATAAAACAACACAAAAACGACTTTGGAAGTTTAATATAATTTTTAAACAACACATATTAAAAAGTAAAAATCTTGGAACTTTCAAATTGTATACATTGGAATTTACAGAAGTGAAATAAGCCTACATTTTCTCACTCTGGAATTTATATGCTTAAATTGATACCTGAGATATTACCACTCTAAAAAAAATGGTCTACTACTAGCTGGCAAAAATATTAATATTACAAATTAAACAGAACATATAGCTAATAAGTAATCAAATTGTAAATAATACATTTATGTAAATGAATCATAACCACAGTCACTGTGACCACTACAAATTTTAAATCTTTTACAAGACGAAGTGTAAAGGACTTTTGGGGGTGAATGAAAGTTCATTTTGGTCACAGTAATTCCACAATGGTGTTTGTACACCTTTTGACAGTATCTTTCACAATGTAATTCAAGCAAAGCACTTCTACTAACATTTGTTTATTAATCCAGACTTTTGGGCAGTTGTTTTACAATGGCACAATAAAAGTGAAACGAATTTTAATAATAAAATCATCCCAGATGAATATTGTGATAAAAGTTGTGCCAGGGGCTCCAAACGTGTGTATTGGAATTTTAGTGTATTGAAGTTATTTATTATACTTTCTATATTTTTCCATATTCTTGTATTTAAATATCATAATATATTTATAGTTTCTTATGTTCTTAAAATGACAGTATTTGAATTGTTTTTTCATATCATATTTCATTAAATAAGGCAGTTTTTCAAGGAAATGAAGAATGTTTCACAATTACATTGCTGATAAGAACAATACAATATTCCACAGAACAATTAGAACGTGTTGTAATTGTTCACAAAGTTCAAATCATTCTTCCCTCAATTTAAAAAAAATACTTTCATGGAGCGATCTCAGTGACTGTGTTACAGTATTTGCATGACTAGTATTTGCATATAGCACTACAGTGGTTAAGAGTTATAAATTATCCATAACTCATTTCAATTTAAGAAAAACAGGATGTCCTATAAGAAGTTCCAACAAGTAACCAGGGGCTGCTGTGACTTCACAATGATTTGAGTGTGCTGGTAATTTCTGAAGTGATGATGTTAAGAACAGTGCATTGCAAAAATTATCATTTAATTAATATCAAAAAAAAAATTTAAAAAAAATAAAATTGAAATAAAAGATAATTTCAAAAATATTACATTTGGTCTTTCAATTCAGCACTGACTTTATTTATTAATTTACAATTGCAATTTAGCTGACAAAACGAGTACAGTAAACACAACTTTTGTTGCCTAATTGAGTAATACATACAACATTATCTAATTGCCTGATTGAGTAATATATACTACACTATATGACTGAGTAATCATATACTACATTTATCAGTAAAAATTCAACTACTTATTTTTCATCCTTAGTCATATTGATAAAACAAATCTTCAATTTATAGATCTCTGAACATTATTATGCTTTTTTATTAGTATACTTTTTTCATTTAAAAATAAAACATCAATCACAAAAATAAATCAAGCTTGAAACATTGATGTTAAAAAACATTGGCCTCAATAAATCGATATTCAATGTTTTTATAAAAATGAAAACATTGACAGTGATGTTGCATCCCTAACACTACATGATGTCTCAAAAACATTCACCCCCTTGCTTTGGGCAGCTTCGGCCCAAAAAATATTCATCACATTTTGTGTAAGAAAGCACACAAGAAAGCCATATGGAACAAATTACTAATGCAACCAAAATAAATTTCTGGAAAATTACACTTCTAAGCTTACATTAGACCTGATATTTTGTGATTAGCAATAGTACGCATAGATGGTTCTACTATGCATCCGCAGTGTACTACGCACTCGCAGTGCTCTTTCCACAAAATCAAAGCATTTTCTGTGCTGCACTTATAAAGTACACAGTACACAGATTTATATTTTAAAGTATACTTATTTATCAAATTTTCGAGACATACAGTTCATTGAAAGTTTTTAAATTCATCATTCTTTAAATTAAAAATAGAGTTTTAGATATTTCACACTTGATAGCACAGGATGTGTGGAGAGGTGATTACCATTTTTACCAAAAACATTAAAGAATTGTGTAAGTTATTGTGTTTAGCAGTGTAAAAAATATTAATTCTCAGAAAAGCAAAAGAAATCTTTCAGCATGAGCATATCATACCATGAGAATAGTGGTGGAATTTAATTGGATCAAATTTTATTTCTCCCAGTGGATTTGATCCTCTCATTTCAAAATAATAGTATTCATATGGTTGCCGATAATGTGGTTCAGAGTATAAATCCCAAAAACACAATTCTTCATTTTTCTGCAATTTCTTCTTCAATTCTGAAGTTTTATCATTATCTTCTGGACAATTAAACAGCAATCTGAAAAAATACATTGTAATGTGTAAGTGATATTGCTTATTACACACAAGCAAGCTGACTAAAGTGTAACTGAAGTGTATACCTCTTGCCTGCTCTGCCTGGAAGGTAGAAATGCAACTTGTATGTTGTTTTAATTGGATTTTCAGGTTTTATCCACCTACATGTGAGATTTTGCCAGTTGTGAGATATGCAACTAAAGTCCTTGACTTCCTGAGGCTTAACTGAAATAAAAACATTATTTAAAGTTCAATAAACATTACATAAAACACACAACCACATACCAATAAAGAAGAAAATGTATGATAAATTTTCCACAAAAAGTTTAAAACATTTTTGAAATATAACTTTCATTTAACTTTGGCATTGCATAATTTATATTTTGGAAGGACATTACATATTACATAAGCATTTTTGAAAATAAATTTGAAAATATAAAAGAAAATTATACATCTAAAAGTTTGTTACTAAACTAAAGGCCTCAGAATGCAACCTCTGGGAGAAGAGTTTGAATTACACTGAAGTTTAAACTCAAGAAAATGATGAAGTGCTTCATAAGCATTAAAGTAATCTTAGGACAAAATAGCTTTACTTTATTAAATGACAGTAGATTCTAAATTATGTAAGTTCAAATAAGAAGCTCACATCAACTAGTTTTAAAATTTTCTCATAAATAAGAAAAAATATTGACACTTATTTTAGTAGTTATTCGCGTTATCCATAGTTATTCGCTGATTAGGCAAGTATCATTCTTAGCATTCACAACAATGCTTTTATTAAAATATTTCAATATTTCTGTTTTAAGCACACAAGTGTAATAACATTAATCTTATTTCTCTGTATTTCATAAAAATATATTCTACTCACAGCCAATTGCAACCATGTTCAGGCAGATACCTATTAAATCCTTCGGGCCTTCAAGTTTGCAATAGTACATGTCTGTAGAAGCAGGAGGTTTCTCCTTGAATAACCGAATGGTTGTTGCATTAATAACTTCAACAAATTCTGAGGATACTTTCTTGTCATTTCGATAAAATACCAAAGAACTAGCATTCTGCCCTTGTGCATCTTCATGGCTTAGGTTCAAATTACAGAATATTTCCAAAGAACTCCCCACTTGAAGAACAATGTCACCTTTTGGAACAGTTGCTGTAACAAGAAACAAAAATTATACATGAAACTGTCTTCTTTATTCTGTAAATAATTAAAAGTAGGACATAAATCATAATTAAATGCATTTTCTAGCAATCAGTCATTAAAACCTAATGTTTATGCACATCTAATAAATAATAAATATATCTATATAATTGCAACAAGAAGACAAAACATTCAAACAAACTCACCAAAGAGGGCAAAAAATTGTGACCAACAAAATCATTAATTTTATTTGGACCAAAAATCCCTAATACTAACTCATCTTGAAAGAATTTCAAATTTTCTCATTATATAATTTTCATTGCAAATATTTACACAATACATTCCCTCTTTTCTTTTCATTTAAAGCAGAATAAATAAAATAGCACAGACTACTAGTATAAAGCAATTTAAATAAAATAGCAATTTGACTACAAGTGTAAGTTTATGAGTTGCAAAGCAAAGAGAAAAATCTATCAGATGGTTAACATAATTTCCTGACTTATCCATTATTACTTATGATTTCGTATATATTGGCCACTCTGATAAATTATATAGTGAACATTCATATATCTATGAAATATAAAAGGTTGATTTGAAACAAATATACTGCTGAATTGTCATGAATTCCTTATCTAAAGAATATTCTAAAAATGTGCTATAAATATTAGTTTTTTGACAAAATTAAGGTAATATTCCTATTTATTTTATTATACCCATTATTTTCCCATAATTTTGTTTGATGGTGATTATTTTCTGCACAGTTCTGGGAGTTTCATTTTTCCCTCTTACATTTTATTGTGGCTAATTAATATTAATAGTAATAATAAATACCCTTATTACTAAGGTAATACAAGATAAAGGTAATATTTAAGTAATAAGTGTAAAATTAGTAAGTAAAGAAAGAAATATGTTTTCAAAGAAATATTTGGGAAGAAAAAACAGGAAAAAAATGTGTCTATGATAAGGATTAAAAACTTATTTTGTTACAAATAATAGTGAGAGCATCACGACCTTAACTTGGTAACAATTAATGAGACCATTTCGGTCAGTAATGCCATACTACATCACTGCATGGCATATATAGCAAGCTTAGATAGTGAAGGCCTACTGATGAAGGATTATTGAAACACTTTATGGATTAAACTTGTTGTTAGAATTCTTGGATTGCAGCTCATCTTACCTCCAGCACTGTCCAGACCAGCTACACAATTGAAGTTACTTGAATCTGATGCCACTACATGCAGGATTACAAGGGTCACAAGCAAATTGGTGGCCAACCAATGGCAACCCTCCACGCATCCCAGTAGCATGGTGGTTCCTGTGCTCACTGCAGGCTCATGCCTGAAATAAAAATAAAAAAATTATTAGTTAAAACAACAACAGGAAAAAATTACAAAGAGGCTAAGAAATATCAATATTTACTAGGCAGAAAGGAACTACGAGAAAATTGCCCTTCGAAAATGAAGGCTCTGTTAACTCCAGAATTTATAAGAATTGCTCAGTCATAAATAAAGGCTCTTGAAAAAAGAAAATGGATTCATTAATACATTTTCTTTGTTACAACTTCTTTCTCGTACACCATTACTGTACAATGAGATAAACAAATGTCACACATATTTATGTGAGATATATCTGTCATGAGTATCATTGGCATGCCACAGACAGGTGACTTAGATTTTGTCAACAATTTAAAACAATTGACGTAAAATAACGTCAGTCAAACTGTTCATTCAATAACTGCTTCCACCTCTGCATTAAAACTGCTTTTCATGCATTAAAGCATTTAGATAAGCAAACACATTCAATGATTCATTGTGAGGTCTTCAATAAGTTTGATCACTAATGTCACCAATTATATTTTGTTTTGTATTTGTATAATTGTAAAATTGTGTTTCACAAATTATAAAATAATGATAAAATAATGATAATGAATGACGTAAATAAAACAAACTTATTACAGCCCTTTGCTAAAAGACAATACAATAGTGATTTCGGCGCGAAAACTGAATGTAGGTGATATTTTAATCAATAAAAATTGGATCATTTTTGTCTAGAACAAGCTCTCTTGGAAAGCTACGTTCGATTAAAGCATTGAGCAATTAATGACGGGCAGGTATCTCTGTGCACAAAGAACGTAAAAACACATGACACAATGCACGCATAATCAGCATACTGCATTAAACGTCGCGATTGTCGAAAGCGAGATATTTTATCGCAACATTTAGGCTCCCGCTATTTTTACTCTTCTGTGTTCCGCTTTTAAAATTTATGTATTACATAAGAATGTATAGAAACTTTACGGCAAAGTAGTAACGAGCGTATTAATGACTCGTGGTGTCGGTATTTTGTCTTATATAGCCTTATATTTATAACTAGTACAACAACAACAACAATAATAATAATAATAATAATAATAATAATAATAATAATAATAATAATAATAATACATAATATTAATAATAATAAGAAGATACCTCGAATACTGATTCCAAATATTTATTGGTTTTGGCACCTGTGCATAATATAGGATAAGAAAAATAAAATTTACAATTTAAACAAGTTGAACAGCTTTGAAACTCTTCACCCAAAATGATTGGAATCCTAACCTGATTTTTACGTGTATTATGATAAAAGAATGTGATTTTAACTTTTCACATTTTTATTGGAACGTACTTTTTTTTAATTAAAGCATAGAAACAATGAACATAAATACGCATACGTAACTTTCAATTTGGCAGGAACTTTTATTTATTTATTTATTTATTTATTTATTTATTTATTTATTTATTTATTTATTTATTTATTTATTCATTTATTTATTTATATATATATTTATTTATTTATTTAGTTTTTCTGTGCTTTACGTCATAAGTGAATTCACCAAAAACTTATCATAAATCATAACTAGCGTCTTTTAACTCAGATATTTTAAAACAAACTTGCAACAGATGTGCATTATTGAAAAAGTAAAGTTTTGGACTAATTATACATATTAGATTCATTAAAAAGAAATGACAGCTACAAAAAATATTTCCATTGCAACAGGGCCGGATATACGTACTGCGGAGTGCCTAAGGAACAATCGCGTTGGGGAAATCCCACCGGAAATATTCATCCACATTTTCTTCAAAGAATAATAATTATAACTGGTGTGTCTAACTTGCAAACCCTCACGTCACAACTAAAATATTTAATGCGGTTGCGGGCCATATTTTCATTATTCGGGCGATTTACAGCAGACTTTCCCGTATTGTTGATCTCGGCAGTTTGCCCGGCTGCTCTGAAACGGAAGGGGGGTGGGAGTGAAACTATGCCTGATATTACTCGCAACTTTTTTTGAACTATAGAGTGAAGAAATGCGAGTAGAGTGGGGGTATTAGTTATGAAATACTAGGTTTTATGGCAATCTCTGGAGAATCAGTTATGTCTTCTCAACTTTCTCAATAATTTGCGTTCTGACGTTCTAGAAAATAACCTATTTCGAGCCAGTGAAGATATGTTTGAAATGAGTGCTCGCTGCGAGCTTTTGCCTTCAACTGTTTCAACACATTGGATGATTTTGAATTTCTGATTTTTTTAGAAAAATGTTCTTAAATCTAAAATTAATGAATTTTTACATTAAAGGGGTGTTTACCCCGACAGGGTACGTGCGCTAGGCACACAATGTTCGGCCGACATGGATGCAAGAGCTCTTTCACATTTGACCAATAACCTCTCACGGGCCACAACAAATGGCACCGCGGGCCGCCAGTTGGACAACCCTGAATTATAATGTAATATTTTTGTGTACAAATACAAACGAAAATTAACAAATTTCTTTTAGAATTGAACCTACATAATACTATTTTATTTAAATACATTTTTCCGAAGCGCGGGGTTCCCATGGATGGGGCGCCCCAGCTACTGCTCATTTTGCTTGTAGGTACATCGGGGTCTTGTCTGGAGGAAAATTTCGTAATTTTACTGCAAAATATTTCTGACATATTAAGAACTGTGAAAAGTGCTAGCGACGATTTGCGAATTGTTTCCTATCTACTTCGGAGGGAAAATAACAAGTACTGAAATCAATTTTGTTTGGATTATACTGGTGTGACTGATTGATAAAATTAAGTATACCTCATTTAACCTAGTATTGCATACCCATAATTAATACAAAATTCATTTTTCTAATTTAAAATGTTTCTCATAACGATATTACGGTACAAATGACATGAAAGGTAAAGATGAACGAAATGGAATGGCCAACGCATTGTACGCTATCAATGAATTCAGACGAGGTTTGTTTGTACAACGAAACAGGGACAATATACCACACAAACTATTGTTACAATCGCAGGGAGGGAAAATGAAGTCTTTTTTTAAGAACTGCCGGTATTTCACGCAAAATTATGCGAAAACTACCAATTTTTCAAGAAATAGTACATGACCTTATTTAAGATTTCTTTGAACAACATATTTTATGTAGAGGGGAAAATGCCTATCTTTAATATTGTATCGTAGGAAGATGCCGAAAGAATTTTGACTTTTGCAATTTCCGAAAATTCACAGAGTTCAACGAAATTGAGACATGCGCCTTTTTAAAGCGACCTTTGCTATATACAAGGAAAAATTTATTAAACAAATTGGAGTATTTTGGGGGAAATTTTGAAGGAGTTAAAGCTTCATGCAAAAGTACCAAGAATCAAAATGTCCATTTCGAACTTGCAGGACCTCGAGTTCAAGCAGATTGATCGGGAAATATCAGTTTTTGATAAAATCGTTTGAATAGTTCAGGCGCTAGCGTTGACGACGGACGGACGGATAGACAGGCATATAGACAAAAGACAGATAACTCAGATCACAGGCACTCATACTACACTAACAGTTTGCCGTCAAACAATTTTTCAGCATCAAGGGCCCGCAAAACGTGGATTCTGAGTAGACAACGTGTAGGAGAAGTAATTCACTACATGAGAGCTACTGATACATAGATTGGTATAAAGGATTTGACAGGACGGAATTTTGGGATAGGAAATTTTGGAACTTTAGAGGAGAATGTATTCATTTTTTCGACGCCAGGACCAGATTATACCAGTTTTGTGTCGAAAAACCGCCCATTTCTGTCGCAGCATTACAACACTTTCTCTTTACTACGTAAGAACGTAGCACGTCAAGAAAATAAAAATAAGATGTGTAATGAATGCATGTATACCACAATGACAATATCGTTTGATAATATGGTATAAATGCAGAGAAACGTACTCGAGCTATGTCGAGCAAGCAATTTCCCAGCAAGCTGAACCTAAGCCATATTGTATGGCAATATTCAATTACGATAGTATGGTGTATGTTGTGTAGGAATAGTGTATTAGATATCGATTGTATGTTTAGGAGAAATTTGTGCCAATTATCTATATTTACCTCAAGTCATTTGTCATCAAGTATAAAAAATTTCAGTGTGGCCACCTTCCATTATTTTTGATTATCATTTTGCCAGTAACGACATTGGAAAATATAAAATCACTCACAAAGCCATCCCTAACTTCCAACTAGAGATTCTCTTTCTAGAGAATTACGAAATGGTAAGTCTCGAAGGCAATGCCACAACACGTACGTACCGCAGTGTGGACAGAGCACATAGAACCGGTTTGGAATGCCCCAGTGTCAGTTCAGAGCGGGTAGTTGGAGGTTAGGGATGGCTTTGTGGGTGGTTTTATATTTTCCAATGTCGTTACTGGCAAAATTATAATCAAAAATAATATTGTGAGAAGAGATACAAATCATGCAGAAAAGGAAATGTATGCGCGTGAATTAAGTCATGAAACTGATGTAAACGTGCAGGTCATATATATCTAAATTAAACGAGTCCGCGTTATATACTTTCATTATACGTTAAATTAAATTCGCAATAGAGAAAATTTTAATAAAATAAGACTTGTGAATAATATTTCTTAAAAAAGGAAATGTTACGTGTACTTTAGCATTCTAGCAACATATATAGATTGATATCATGCAAATATTCTCCTGTGGGCGGAATGACAAGAATACGGAATAAAGCATCTCAAGGACACGTTGGTTCGTGAAGTATACGCGGATCATTTCTACGTGTTAAACGACCACACCCTCCAAATTGGTTTGGCACCAACGAGAATTTAAAAAAACGCTCATAAGTGTCAAAAAACCTATCATAGAATATAATTTTAAAAAACTATTTTATATCAGCTGTGGTTAAGAAATGATCCATCATGGGGTAAGGGTTGGCTGAATGAGTCCAGTGAGAGGCGCGGAGGGCGTCCCGCAGGGGGCAGTGGCCGGCGCGGCGGTGCGTTCCGTGCGCCAGCCGGCGGTGGCGCCGTCAGGCG